CGGGTCCTCATTTTACCCACCTCGGAATGATGGAAGGATGAGTCAACCCCGAGCCGGTGAGATTTGAACAGCCGAACTGCAGAACTGCAGTCAGCTGAAGTAGCCTGCAGTGCTGCATTTAACCACTGCGCCACCTTGGCTCATTAAAAGCCATAGCTTTCAATCCAGAATCACTGGACTCAAATAAGGCAGCATGTCAAAACCAAAGGAACAAATCATGAAGTTGACTACAAGTTTAATAAAATACTGGTAGCCCTCAACTTACAACCATTCATTTAGTGACTGCTCAAAAATGAAAAAAAAAATGAATTACAACCATTTTTTCACACTTACGACCTTCACAGCATCCTCATGGTCCTGTGATCCAAATTCAGAAGCTTGGCAATTGACGCCTATTTTTGCCGGTTGCAGTGTCCCTGGGACATCCCTCAGTCCTTCTTTTCATTAAACTAGACGTGCCCAGTTCCTGCAACCATTCTTCCTATGTGCTTCATATGTACACTAATCGGCATGCATTAAAATGAAATTTTGTAGCATCCAGCTCTCAAAGGGTCTCCACCTCCAATATACACTACATAAACATGAGGAAATAAATAAATACAGAATTATGCATGTACCCACGTATATGACACAGAGAAACAACCGTCTAGTTCGGGTATATGCATGTACATGGCGAGAAAAATGCTAGTTTGCCAGACGGAGGGCCTAGGGAACAAAGCTGTTGCAGAATGTGGTAGTCTTGCTAGCAATACTTCCAACATGTGAGCAAAATTTGGATGCTTAGCAAGTTATTTGTACTTATGACCGTTGCGCTGTATGTCATACAATTCCATTTTGCAACCTTCTGACCAACAAAGTCAATGGGGAAGCCAGATTCACTGAACAATTGGGTTACTAACTTATCCACTGCAGTGTTTCACTTAACTGGGTCTCCTGCCTAAGCAGAGGGTTGGACTAGAAGACCTTCAAGGTCCCTTCCAACTCTGTTATTCTTTTAAAAAATCATGCTTCTTTTAACCGAGGCAAGAAAGATGGCAAAACCCACAAACGTCTCACTTAATAACAGAAATTGGGGGGGGGGGGGGGGGGAGAAATCTGTTGCG